CCCCCCTAAATTTAACGATTTTCAATTAGGGACAGAAAGATCACACAACTAGAGAGGGGAAGGAGGCCAGGTCGCCTCGGTGGGCAGGCATCTACAGAGAGAGAGAGATGCAAGCGCGACCGATGGCCGGGCTCGCCAGCCGCGCACGAAAAGGATCTTCAAAGGCTCCTTGTTCTTTTTGCCGGGGCTGGATGTCCGCCGGATGGTTAACGAGCGCCGAGGTCTGCCCCGCAGTTATCTGCAACGGCGAATATTAGCGCTATTAGGGAGCTGCCGTTCCGATTAACACCCGGCGTTCCTTAATGACCACCCCCCTTTCACTGGCGCCCCTCTCGGGGGAGGAGGGAAGGCAGGGCCTGGAGCCAGGACTGACATCTCTTCCTTCCTCTCTCGCCGGGGCCGGTCCCCCGTGCGCAGAGGGCGCTGCGACTCTCTAATTGGCGTCAGGAGAACACGCCGGCCTGTTCCCAGCGCGGGGGATGCAAATGCAGACGGGGCCCGGAGCCCCCAAAGCGCCCGCGACTCTTTAACATAATCTTTTGTAGCCGCGGAAAAGAGCAAGAGAGCCTGAAAGGCTACCAGAATCTGAGGCACTGGGAGGCGTTTTCCTGAGCCACTGCTCACCTCTTCTTCACAAAAACGCATCCCCTGCCAGTCCAGTGTTCCCTCTAAGCTGAGCTAGTGTGAGCTAGCTCACAGTTTTTTAGCCTCTGGCTCACACATTTTGGTCTTCGCTCAGGGAGGATGGCTCCAGAGCAAACTAATGCATGAAGGAGCCAAATGGCTCGCTCACAACTTTAATGCCAGGAGCTCACAAAGTAGGATTTTTGCTCACAAGACTCCACAGCTGAGAGGGAGCGTTGCCTGCCACCGATTCTGTTAGTCTTTCAGGGGCTCTTTTCTACTGCTGCAGACGAACTAACAGGGCTACCCATCGTCATCTTTTGTTTGACTGCTTTTGTTTGCTTGTGTTTGGTAGATCCCAGATCTCACCTGAATAGCCGTGGGGTGCCCAACTGAGCACAGACAGGACGTCACTGGAAACAGTGGCGTTTGGGCTACTACCTCTAGGAGTTCAGGGCCCAGTCATGCAAAGTGGACGTCTGCTAGAGCCAGACAATGATACTGATAAGATGTGTTGGGTTTTGATAGTGAGATATTGAAAAAATGGTATTTAGCAGAGATAATATAGCCCAGCAGAGCCTGAGTAAAATAATTCAGACTGAAA